TCTCTATAATTCTGTTAATCATTTATCTATAGTTTATGGCATTGATATCTAAATATGACTGGCAAACTGTAAGAACTATGTCACAATATTAAAAAATCGTTTTTTGAATATCTTCTAAAGTATCTTTTATATAAATTCTGTAAATCATATTTTTGATTGGCAAAGTCTGAGGTGGAACTAAAAGAACTATGTGAAAAACATTTGCAATCTCGTTTTTTGTACATCTTCTAAACTATCCTCCATCTAGATTCTGTAAATCAAATCCATAAGTAATTTAATAATATTTAAATATACCTAATGAGTTTATTGCTTGATAAGACTACATATACATATATGCATATACATATGTATTTATTTTACAATCATTATAGCTATGAGGGCTATCGATAATTATTGAGCTAACAATTCATATACATACATATCCATATAGACTAATCTAATCTTTAAACATTCTGCCATAAGAATCTAATATGAAAGTAACTTTACAGGGCATCTAGTACCCAAAACACTCCAACTAGCCAATTTAGATTCAGTTATGCTGTTGGCCTAAAGGAGCTTTGGGCCAAGCGAGCGAACCGCCAATGCAGGGCATTCAGTCAAATCGTTACGGCTATTTACACAAATTGCCATTGAAAATGCGCCCACAAAATGTGGTGCGAGCGGTGCATGTGGCATGCGGCGCTTGGTATGTGTGGCTGGAGTCGGAAGTCCTGCAAATAGCGACTGCATAATTGAAATTATTTACATTATATTTGAGCCAAGCGCGAACATTCCATATCCACTTCCACCACCACCACCACCACCACATCCACTTCCCAATGTGTGGAACGCCTTCGCTTTCGCCTCGACCTCTCCGCGTCGGCTCTTGCATTTTTATCGATTTTTTACGAGTTTTTTTTTGCATACATATTTTACACGCTCGAGTGTGCAAATGGACTGAAATATCCAGCACGTTTAGCTTTAGATTTCGCTAAATATCTAATGGGCTTCTAAACAGATGCCCTGAAAAAAAAAGAATATTAAATAGATAGAATGTTGTTAGATTGATACAAATTTCATATTTGTTACATTTATCTCAAAAATTTCCAGCTATATGCTTGCCTGTCCTATCTCCGTTTTATACCTTTTTGCTCTCTACTTTACTTTTATCACTTCCATTTCTGTTGTTGCTTAACCCACTGCACTTTATAGCTGCTTGTGCAGCCCACATACAAACTAAGGTAAACATGGAGCATGGCTACGGTTGAGCTGAGGCTAAAGTCGAAGTCACATTTGAAATGTCAACAGTGCTGCAAATTACGGTTGCTTTTACGGTTCATGCTACGTGCAACACAGAAAAAAAGTGTTGGATTTTTGATTAGGACTAATAAAAAAGTTTGCCACAAAGTGTGTCCGCACTTGGACAGTTGTGCCACATCTAAGTGGAACTGTTATATGCGCTCTAATTAGAGTAGATTGGGGAAATTGTACTACGTTAGCCTCGTTCAATCGTCCAGAAGTGCACACTGTTATAAAGATAGGACTAAATTATTATTATATAGCTTTTGTACTGTTTATTAATTGTTATTATGCTGTTATACAAATATAAAAGAAGCAATCATTTACTGTTATACATAGAGCATATTATGAAAAAAGCGAATTAAATTAGTGTGAATCTATTAAAAATATAAAAAATAAATAGTTTAATATAATTTGCATACATAATTTACTGTTATACACTGTTCAAATGCAGTAAAGCCAATGATTACATATAATAAATAAATACTAAGACTTTTTTCAATGCACTTTGCTCTATAATAATCTACATATTATATGTATTATATTCTTGTTCTACTGATTTAACTAGTTGCTGTTGAATTAGGTTTAATAAATCTTATATTTTCTGTAACTTCAATTAAAGCAATGACCTACTTGAATTTCCTATTACAAACAATGTCTCCAATAAACTGTTTTACAAATATTTGCCTAAATTAACCAATGTCAGAAAACTATTTTCGCCTCATAAGCAATAACAGACACAATGTGTTATACACATAGATATAATATATACATATATATATACATATGTATGAGTATTTGCTCTATTGCCCATTTGACCATGTCACTTAATGGCCAACAAAGTTGCCCATTTCTCGTATGTGCGTGGGCTCGCCGCCCAAAATGAAACTTGTAATTCAATTTCGTTCTGCAAACATGCAAAAAGAGAAACATAGAGATAAGTTGTAGCTGGGTATACACGACAGAGCCATACTCTGTTTAAGCAATCAATTGAGCTCATGCTTTATACATCTTGATTTGGATATTGTTAGCGTTACCTTTCTTCTGTTCACCACATATTTCCTGATCAATTCTTTGCCCTTGGCTTGCCAAACTAATATCCCCCAACACAATTCGCTGACGGTGTACAAAACGCAAACCACCAAATCACAAACTGCTAACTTGTTATCGCGGCAATGAAAAACGTTGCCTGCTTTTGGGCGCGCTTCATTTGCCTGCCTCACCATATCTCTGACATTTCCGATGACGCGGAAATATCTACAATACATATAGATAGACATACATACATATATATATATATATATATATGTAGATATAGATATGTCGCATCTGAGTGTCATATACTGTGACAGCGCCAGAGCTTTATCACAAATCAGCCCAAAAGCCAACTATTTAGAGCTTACGAATGATTCACAAACAAATCCCCCAAACGAATGCGTTGCCTATTAGGAATTATTAGGCATTATCATTTTGTCATACAGTGTGTAACCACTAACTACACTGTATTTGGCTTTGAGTAAGTAATTCTTTGTTAGACGTATAACAGTTAATGACTGCTTTTTGTTTGTATGATAGTGTAAGTGAACTAAAAAATCTGTGTGAAAATTATTAAAAGCTAAGATTTTATGTTGATATGTATATATATTTTTTAAGCGTGTATAACAATGTATAACAATTTACAATAATTCGAAAATACAATACAGAGTTATTTAATAATTTTTTAATTTAATACAACGTACTATGTATATAAGTAATGTATATAAAGCTTGTATATAAATGAAAATATATGTATATGTATATTTAAAATCTCAGGAAGTCGTACATGTTTACTAGCTATTATAACTGTTATATTGTGGCATATAAATGAACTGACACTTAAATTCTTGTTTAAGTCCAACTACAATGTATTAGTATATCATTGCAAAATATAATTAAACTATCTTCAATGATTTCATATCATTTAAAAAGTCTAATAGATACATATGTTTATACCGTAATCTAGTATACATATACATACGTATATATTAGAATATATTTCCATTATCGCACTTGGTTTATTGTAAACCTTTCTTTAACCAGCAATTCTCCATTGATTAAGGGTATTTAGTGTTCTGTGCAGCTGTTGCCTTCGGCCTAGTTTTTGGTGGTTTGCCAAATGTTCAACACGTTCCAGTTTCTTTGTGGTGCTGGCTTATTTCGCTCTCGTTGTTGTCGTGAGTCCTTGCCACAACGTGGCCGCCACTTGGCGTCTGTCAGATTTATGACAGTTTCGCTTGACACTGGGCACGATCTTCGCTTTGATGCTTAGTTAAAAGAAATATATATATACTGTTGTCTATACATAATTCTGCCTTTAAAGTATGCCATCGATTCTGTAGGCCAGGCATTTGGCCTGCATCAATCATCATTTCCCGAATGACTGTCCATTTGTATTTGGGCGTGCTGCTTAGCAGCCATAGAAATCATTAATCATATCAATATCCAAATATCCAAATACTTTTTGCTGTCCACAATTGACTCGATTCCATTATAAATCACTTCAAAGCAAAATTGCTTTAATTCCTTTAGGTGAAAACAAGGAAAAGTCTAATGCGTATTCCTTGGACAAATGAATAGGAGTCAAGAACATGAAATTAGTATTTATTTAACTTATTTCTGCCCTGCTTTATTTCTTTTTTGCACAGCTGGGAATATAAGTAAACTGTGTGAGCCCTAGAGGCTGGTATTTCATTTTTTTTTCTTTGACTTTCTATTTATTACAAGTCTGAGTGCTCTTGTCAGGGCGGCTCGCTCGACTAGAAAAAAACACTTGCATTACTTATATATCTTATTATTTTCATCTGTTCTCAACTCATTAAACACAAGTTGTATAAGTGTATAAGTATATACGCTTAACAAACCGTTTATCATTGGCTTTATAATTGAATTGCAATTCAAGAACATTTCACATTCTTTTTTAAATGAAATACTTGATTTATTACATTTCTAAAAATTAATTGAAGAACATTTCATTTTATTTTACTTGACTTAATTAATATGGCATTCCTTATTTAATGAAATATTTGATTTATAAAATTTCTCTTATTTAAAATCTTACTTCAATAATTTCTACACAATTTTCTCTTGAGCCTTGTCATCTGTTTGCACACAAAACCCTTGAACTTTTCTTGGGCTTCCTGTGCTCAAGCACAGATGGCTCATCATTCACCGAAATGGGGCAGTTAGTACTGTTCACAATTGTTGTTGGCTTGAGTACTGTAAAATGCTGCAAAATAATTGAAGGCGTTTACGTAATTGAAAAAAAAAAGTTATAAATTAGGTAAACATTTTTTTTTTTACTGCAATGGCGCATATATGTATATGTATATATATATTTTTTATTGTCAACCACTTGAAAAGAAGATTGAATAAGTTCTAGGAATACTTAGAGGTTTTGATGTATACATATATTAGCTAAAATTATTATTAGTTTTTAGACATTTTAAAATACCTCAAATATTGAATAGCTCTATTATAATGGGTCAATGCTTTTGATTGTTAGTGTTTACCAACACTGAGTTTAGATTATTCTGTATTTGCATACAAATATTTATACATTTTCCAATACTGATTCACAAAATTCGCCTTCCATCACTCCTCGTGCCCAATCAATGCCAATTATAATGCCATTTACTACACGTTTCTATGAAATTGTTAACAAATATTTGATTGATCCTTTGCAGGTTCTCCAGCCGCTATGAGCTTCCTTTGCTGGTGCAGAGTGTCGTCATGAATGTGACCATGTTCCTAATGATACACCTTTGCGTGAAGGTTAAGCGCATGAATGCCAATTCGCGGGGCGAGCATACGCTGCGTGGTAAGACGCCATCTGAACAGTTCATGATGAAGTTGTATAACAGCGGTTTCCCTTTCAGGCGACGAGCTGCACTTGCCGAAAGTGCTGACGGACACGGACACCGGCGCCTCCATATCCACGGATGTGGGCGTGCTGAAGCGTGCACGTTCCAGGCATTATCTGAATGGTAAGAAAATCAGTTCGAATTTCGGGGCGCAGTGTTTTCATTGAAAACTTTCTCTCGCTCGACAGTTGACGTCAATTTCCGTTCCGCCATCTTGTCAAATGCAATATGGTTATAGCACACCCAGTTTTTGCTTCAATTTCTATTCACGACTTTTACGGCGCTTGCCTAGCTCGCGTTATCTTTACGCGCCATTTGCAGTATTTAAGGCTATAGGCCTTATCAATCAGCCCTCGTGCACGGGCACTGGCTAAGAACACCAAATCAAACTGGGTTAGCAGGCGGAAACGTAGGGCCATAAATTGATCAATGAACTGGCAGGCAGGCAGGCTGGCACTACCAGACGTACGTGAGCTCAACATTGAGCTAATTATAGAGGCACGCCAGGGGCTTCTTCGTTATCTTGTTGTGTGTGTAGGTGGACGGTGCCCAAAAGCAGGCAACAATAATCGAGATTGATTTTCAAACAGCAGCAATTGCACAATCTTCTAGCGCTATAAAAGTTGAATTTATTTATTTATATATATATATATATATTTTTTTTTTTTGTTGTCAAAAGATTGAGTCACAATGATCTATTGTGAATAGAGTAGTATAATTAATTCATATAGAGCTGTTTAATTATCAAATACAAAGGCTTTACAAGCCCTAGCTTTACGTTGTAATATACTGTATAACAGTATTATATATTACAATTTTAGTCCAGCTTGAAAATGACTTTAGTTTTGCCATACGTTAAATTTGTAAAGAAGCCTAAGCTTCCTTAGTTATTAGTAATGTACTGTATAACAGTACACTATACAACTACATTATAACAGTTCTGCATCAGTCCAACTAATAACTCTAACTTAGAGCTTATAAACAAAATGTGTGTTCGATTTAACATACCTTGGAAAAGCCGTTCGTATAACAGATTGTAAAAACTTTCGAAGCAGCTTCATATGAAACATTTCACAGTGAAATATATATAACACTTGTACGATGTTATCTCTGCCCGGAAGCTGATATTCAATTTCGATTTGATATACTTTGGAGAAGAGTTTCGTATAACAGTTCAAAATATAATGCCGTTCAAATTTTCAGTCTGTTCGACTTTTAAATTCTTACATGATCTGAGATCAAACCGGCGTTAGCCAGGTTGGTTTCTATCTACTCTAAATGCTCCATATGCAGTTTTTGCAATGCGAAAACTATAATACTTGTATAACAGTTCTTTCCTGATTCCCCTTTCAGATCTGGACTTCAAGTACTTTTGGAACTGGACAGACTTTCAATCGTATTTGGACATGATGCTAGTCGTCTGGGCCGTTGGCGCTGCAATCACATATCTAATGCTCTCCGTGCACTGGTTCATGGAGTCCATGGGCTTCGTGGCCGTCTTCACAGAGGCCATGTTGGGTAGAGTGTTTAATCTAGTCCATTTCCATTTAAAGTGCTCCAAAACTAATTGAGATCTCATCTCTTGCAGGTGCGCCGCAATTCCTGCGCAACTTTAAGAATAAATCCACATATGGTATGAGCATTCACATGGTGATTATGTGGACGCTCGGTGATATGTTCAAGACTGGTTACTTTATCGCGAGGAACGCGCCATCGCAGTTCTGGATTTGTGGCACGCTGCAGGTGCGTATGCAATTGCTGAAGGGCCATCAATTAATGATGCATTGCTCAGTGCCTCAGCGCCAAGTAAACACTTGGTTTACAATTCTTTTATTGCATTACAAAAACAAAGCTCTTGCAATTGGCAAAAGTCTGCTACGTGTTCGCGTCACGTTCGATTGCCATTTCATGCTTGAAATACTTGAGGCACTCGCTGAAACCATTAAAAGAGCTTTGAATGCCATTAGGCTTGGAAGAATTTATTGTTTGCCTTTGATGAATATGTGAGACAAAGTATATAAAAGATTTCTATACAATTGATAGTTGTATAATGGAAAATGTGAAAATAATAGCAACAAATATTATACGAGCTTAACTGAGGAGGAGAAATGAATGTTAAAATCAGACAAGACAGAT